CTGGGATTAGCTGGAATTCAAGCACACAGGTTATTTCAATTCTATTCTGTTTTTTTTTTAAAGAGGTTTTCTCCTTTGAATTTGGACAGCCCTCTCTCTTCCCCAAGCATCATGTATGCCAGGGCCAGCCTAAAAGCAAATCCCAAGCCCTTTCCTTTCTGCTTGCAGTCCTTCTAATGACTGCAGGCAGTATTTTGGTCCCCGCTGAAATACAAATTTTAAAGTAATAGAACAGATAATTTTGGAAAATGACTGACAGAAGTTCACATATATGCATGCAAGAAAATATTGTCAGTGTCCACTTTACTGCTGTCTGGGGAGTAGACTTCTGCTCTACTCTATCAGAAACTGTGAAGCAGGGCTGGAGAGCTGTGCTCTTCTCTAAAGCCTCTCTGTAGTGTGTGTCACTCTGATGTGTGCACATTATCACTTGCATAGCCAATGTCCAATTGACCACCAGATGGCCTTTGCAGAAGCAAGAAGTTAAGGTCAAGATTTTTATTTCTGATTTGAAGGTAGACACTGTTTCCAGTCCCACATAATCAGATTCTCTGTGCGCCAGCTGATTTCCTAAGGCATAATGTATTTAGATGTGCAGAAAATTGCTTATGTTATTATCCTCAAAGCACTACAAAGGTAAGCAACAATCCTCAGTATCCTTCATGTAGATGGACGGAATAAAGACATGAATTGTTAATCACACAGGTTCTCCATTCATTCCCAACAGGCATTGCAGGGTAGTGGTGCTTCCAGCTGGCTCAGGACAGCTTAGTTTGCAGAAGAGCAGATAACATCTGTCTGTTGTACACACAACATCAGGGACTGCAGAAAGTGCTGCAAAATGGGTTGGAGAAGCTGAATGAGCAACAGAGTGGTTACTTCCACACTGAGTTTTAGTGCTGCAGCAGTAGCTAACCTAAAGAGTTTCTAACTTAGGTACATCTGCACTATTCTGTCTTGCAGCAGTGGTGCCTGCTCAAATGGCAGGGGTGGGAGTAAAAATCAGCTCTTCTGAGTCACTGTCAGGAAGCTAAAAACTGAGCTGTGCATTGGTAATGATAATGATGCTACACCTCAACCTTTACCTCTGCTGTATGTGGAAAATAGGAGAGTATACAGGACTACACTGGAAGGAGTCACTTACATAGCATCATGGAACCATTAGAGTTGGAAAGGATCTCCAAGATCATTGAATCCAACCTTTGACCAAACAGCACCATATCAAACAGACTTAGTGTAGTTTGCGAACTTACTGAGGGAGCACACAATCTCCTTGTCCAGCTCATCAGTAAAGATTTTAAACAGGACTGGCCCCAACACTGAGCCTAGTGACTGGCTGCCAGCTAGATGTAACTCCACTCACCACCACTCTCTGAGCCCAGCCACACAGCCAGTTTTTAACCCAGCAAAGAGTGCACCTGTCCAAGCTGTGGACTGCCAGCTTTTCCAGGAGAATGCTGTGGGAGGCAGTATCAAAGGCTTTACTGAAGTCCAGGTAAACAACATCCAAAGCCTTTCCCTCATCTACTGGTGACCAGGTCACCTGGTCATAAAAGGAGATCAGGTTGGCCAAGCACGACCTGCCTTTCTTGAACCCATGCTGGATGGGCCTGATCCCCTGGTTGTCCTGTACGTGCTGCATGATCCCACTCAAGATGATCTGTTCCATAACTGGTGCTGAGATCAGGCTGACAGGCCTGTAGTTCCCCAGATCCTCCTTCTGACCGTTCTTGTAGCTGGATGTCACATGGCAAACCTCCAATCATCTGGGACCCGGTTAGCCAGAACTGATGATAAATGATGGGGAGTGGATTGGCAAGTTCCTCTGCCAGCTCTCTCAGTACCCTCAGTTGGATCCCATCTGGACCCATAGACTTGTGTGTCTAAGTGGCACAGCAGGCCAAGCAAGGCAGTCATGGCTGATGGTGTCATTGAATATACCCTCTAAAAAAGGTAGGGACAGAAGACTATGGAGAAGCTGCCAGTGGTCTCCTGAAGAACCAGGAAGAGTGCAAGAAGTCCTTCTCCCAGAATACCACCATTCCAGCAGAGGAGAGTGTTGTGCCACATGTTATAAGAGGAAGTGTTTTTACAGTATTCCTTACTACACAAGTTGAGATGTCAAACCAAAATCATGACTATTAAATGGATAAAAGTGGGAGTCCTGAGCAGGAGCTATTGCAATGGCTGAATTCACAGGCCAAGTCTGCTGAATTCTGTGCCATCACTAATTGTTGCCTCATAGGGTGCAATCAAGCTTTGGATGAATAAAGCCAAGAACAGGGATTTTACTTATACAAAGCAATCACGCGCTTTTTGCTAGGTGACAGATCGAAACCATGGGAGGTGTTTATGTTTTTTCCCAGCTCAACTTGGAGCCCTGTTTTGGCACAAAATTAGAACATACCTAATTCAAATCTTTGGCCAGCCAGGAAAATTCACCTTTGGTTTCTGACCCAGCCACAGTTCTCATTTTGTTTCCTTCTCGAAGCCAAGTTTCAATTAGCGCATTATGGGCAGAGACTCGGGCCTCACATGACAGCATTTAGCTCAGTGTGAAACCATGGGGGATTGTTGAGCAACTGGGACTGATAAATAGTCCTTGGGAACTAGTGCAGAAAGAATAATTGAGGAGCAAATGAGGAGTTTGTGTGGCTCGCGTTCACACAGGCACACACAAGCCTGTTCTCAGTTGTAGTAGCTGAAGTTGTTCCTACTAACAAGTCTCAGCAGAAACCATCTGGTTCTCTAGTGGACAAAGACTGTTTGTGCAATGTCAAATAGTTGAAATGTAACATGTTTGGGTAATTTTTTTCCCTCATTTTCAGTGTACTATAGGTTATGTGAAAGCAATCCCTTATAAATCTCCATTACATGATGCTGTTTTAAAACATTCTTAAGTTCCATGAAAAAAAATCTCTTCTAATTATGTGATCAATTTCTTCCTTTAGTGTGCTTTTTTGCATACTACATACCTTTCTACCCCATTATCTTCATGGGAGAATAAAGAATAGCACTATTTACTGTTCTAGGATTACAGTTTCATAAATAAAACATATAGTGAGAATCACCATGTCTAAATAGGATTAGCATTATTTTTCTACTTATTTTTTATGTGGATTATTTTTATATAATTTATTCTCACCCATCTTTTCTGTAGCAGCAAAACAGCTTTAAGCTCCTAACCCTCTTCTCCTCTTCCTTGGCCTGCTGAACATTTTCTTAACACAGAAGCTGCTGAATAAAGCCAGAGGCCAGGTCAGGTATGAAACAGGATCTGAACCTTTTTTTTTTTTTTTAACTGGAGCCATAAACTTAAAAATCTATATCTTTCTTTCATCCTTTGGTTGTGCATTCCACCAGGAAATATGCACTAAATGAGGCAGTTCAAGTGTGGAAAGGTGCCCTCTCCAAGGCTGAATTTCTAGGATGTGTTTTACAGGCTCTGCCTAGAGCAGGCTGATGCAGGGCTCCACACATCCTTGGCTGCAGGGAGAGCTGGGCCATAAGCAGCTGGAAGAGGGCCCTTGCTGGGATAGATGAGGGTCCTTCCTAGGCCTTGGCCCTAGCTGTGTAGATGAATGCTTTAGGGAGCACAGCTTGAAGCCTTCACCCCATTTTAAATCCAGGCTGGTGGTAAACCATTTGACACACTCCAAGCAGGAATATCCTCTGAAGATAATGGCCACAACTACCTCCCATCTCACCAAATCCCCAAGGAGTGGGTGCCTCTGCCATTTACACTACAGGTCCCCTCTTGGAAAGGGCGTGTGGGGACTCAGACTCGCCACTGAATTTTGTGCAAGAACCAGGCTTAAGGGGCTGCTGGTAGCTGCTTTTGCAAGTATGATAAACAAGCAAAAGTACCAGTTTGATTGTTTCAGAGGGGATTAGTTCCAGAAAGAGAAATACAGATGCAATTGGGATACTACTGCTTCCAGGGCTAGGTGGCAGCCAAGAGAAATCTTGAGGGCACCTACCTGAAACAGGAAGTCATTACTGACAGTTTTGTTAGACAACCTCACTGTGTTCACAAGCAAGTCTGAGACACTTTATACAAAAACTTTGTTAAAAATATCCATTAAAATGAGAGAAAAGCTATTTTGCTTCCTCAACAACAAGAGTTTTAAATGAGCTGGCTGAGGACCTCGGTATTTGTAGGATGAATTTTAAATAACTCTTTAGAGACAGAGGCCTCTCCCATGCTATGCCAATGTTTACAATCAGCAGATGGCATGACTCACATGCTTTCAACTGCTATTTCTCATTCTGACATTCATTCTCGGTAAAATATTTTAAATGGGATATAATAAGAAAATAGAGGAGAAAAATCAATGGGCTTATAATTATTATTTCTTACTCTTTATTAAAGAACTTAAATGGATGCTTTCATATAGATTGCTAGATAAAGATGGGATAAATTTGGCTAGCATTAGGGATATAATATGCTTAGACATCTGGTAAGAATTTGATTAGATCTTATGTGATATTTTTAAGTAAATAAGATTGCAACAAAATTACCATAGCCATCTAAAAAAATAAGATGGGTACCAGGTCTTCAGTACACATAAGCAGGTAACCATGAGCAAGCATATGTGCTTTTAGAGTGGTCAGCTGGTAACTGCTTCTTGGTCATTAAGTGCCAGAAACCAAAGAGGTTTACAGTGACAGCAACACCGGGCTTAAAAGCCATACAGAACAACGTGGTTCTCTGAACAAACTGAGAATAAGCTAAACAATGTAGGTCTTAAACTGAAGTTTATTACATGATCTGGGTGCAATTTATAATAAAAGTGAGGTAAGGAAATCTTCCTGTGCCCCAGAAAGCAGCATCTCTGTAAAGGATTTGAAGGGTAATTTGAGCTGGTGGGGTAATAAGCTTCTCCCTGACAGGGTAGTGTCTAATGCAGTTCTTGGATGTATAAACAGAGGTAGCTCAAATAGCAATGGAGAGATGATATTTGTGTTTGGCACTGGAGAGAGCACTAATGGAATCCTGTGTCCAGTTCTGTCATCTGCAATTTGAGAAGGATATTGGTAAACTGAAATGGCTTCAGAAAAGAGTTAAGAGAACAGTTAAGAAGCTGGGAAATATTTATTATGGGCAGAAAATCCACGATTTAGGAGCTAGTATGTATTTTATAAAAAGAAAGTTAAAGGGTAACTTATTTGCAATCCATAAGAGCTTACAAGGGAGGAAAGCTTTGGTGATGGCTTTCTGCAGTCTTGAAGCCAGAGAAATGGGACTAGAAATAAGGCACAGGATTGAACAGTGAGGCTTTCATTAAAATTTATGGTAGCAATTTGTAAAACTATATTTTTCATTTTTTTTTCTTACAGTAAGTACATGTAAACATGGGGGAGTGCTGCTCAAGAGCCACAAATCTGAGAAAACTACTGAGAGTATCTCAAACAATAAGTGAGTTAAAATTGCATGATCATCTACACTGACACAAATACAAGCATGAGGTCAGGGTCTTACCTAAAATCAAATCTTTACACTGCTTTGAATATTGAGATAATTGTTCTAGACTGCTCACATGTACATAGAAAACAGGCACCTTACAGAACACTGGCTGACAAGAGAGATGTAAGACAGTTCCAGTGTTTGAGGCTGACATGAAAAAGGAATCCAATATTGCAAGTGAAAAGGTTTGGTTGGGCAAATAACGTGTGTAAGGCATGGAGAAATGAGAGTAGCAGAGAACCCAAGTAACTCCCTGCCAGGCAGGGAGGCCTGAGAAGAGTGGAGTTTTACACAAACACATGAGGGAGAAATGAATACTAAAAGGAAAATGGATGAGGTAGGGATTTGTGCTAGGCTCGTTTCTTATGCAGGTGTTCGCATTTATGTGAGAGTAAGGAAAACTGCAGATGATGTGAAAGTAAGGAAAACTGCAGATGATGTGAAAATATAAGTAACTGCCCTGGAGGAAATGGAAAATAAGAGACAAAGGCTGTAAAGGATAACAACATGGGCACAGAATAACAGCATGAGATTCAGGGTAAAAATATATAAACTAACTCATTGAGGCAGAGGAAATGATGGAAATAATCCGAACAAAGGAAGAATCATACAGAGCAGCTATGCTGAAAGATAAGAAATGTGTAAAGATGGGAGTACAGAGCCAGTGAAATGAGTCTGCAGTGTGACGTGGTAGCTTAGAAGATGACATTAGTTCTGGATTTCAGATGTAAAAACACAAGTTTGGAGTCTAAACTCTACCTGTAGGAAGGTCTGCTGCCAGTTTCCAAGCACAGCATAAGATGCCCTGCTAAGGTTCAGCTCTCCTGAAAGAAAAATACCATGCTGCAAGTTGAAATATCAATAATACAAGGCAATTTTGGAGTCATTGAAATTAGTTCAAGAAGGATCCAGATGTGGGTCAAAGTATGTTTGGATCAGAGTTTAGCTGAGGTATTTTGACACCTGTCAGGCTTCAGCCAAACTCCTGTTTGCCTATTGAAAAGTGATGCAGATTGGATTGAGGCACATTGCTCAGGAAGTTATGGGCTGAAACTTGGAGAAAATTAATCTGAAGCTGATCTGGAAATCTGGGTCTTCCTTGGTTGTCAGACTGGGGATTTCCCTAGAAACCTTCTAACAACATTTTCACCAGCTTAGATACAGCACTAGCACAACTGTAGCATAAAGAAAAATGTTTCAAAGGCAAGGAGATGGATTAGATGATCCACTAGGCATTTTCCATCTTTAACTTATGATGACTTTATGAAAGCACTTTGTCAGCCCTTCACTAACTACTGTGTACTTAGGTCTGATCTGTCTTGTCAGACTATGGTTTGGGAAGTTAGATTTCGCTATAAATTCCAATCTGAGCTTCTCTGAAATCTAAAAATAGAATAGTTGAGAATGTACAGGCTGAATTATGGATCAAATGTGTCACTGCTGAAACCAAGGACAAAATGTGTGACATTAAACTGATGTAAAAGAAAAACTACTTGACTATTTCTGTACTCACAGAGTGCATTTTTCATACACAGAGCTCTGTGAGGACGTTAGCTAATTAATCATCACAGGATGTCAGGGGATCATTACTCACACCTCCATTTTTTAGATGAAAGAGAAGGTTTAGAGAATCTTTCCATGTTACAACTGGAGTCAGGAATATGAATATCTTGCCCATTGCCCCATGCTGAAGTCTCCAGTCCATACTGCCACCTAATGCCTGTCTAATACATGCGAGAAAATGCAGCAGGTGCTTTGAAAAACAAATTAACTAGACATTTTCAAACTATTCACAATGTTTAATAGTTGAAAAAATATATGATACATAGACTAATTTCAGGAAGGGAAAAGCAGGAGAATGTGTGATTTGAGGTTGTGGTAATTGCACGTAGGAGCATTGTTTCCTTCTGTAAGAGGCTGCAGGCAGCCTTCCTGTGCTGATTTGGTACAAATGTGACTCCTAGCAGCACAATGCACTGCTCGGGTTCCCCCTAGCCTTTCTGAACATTACTAATGTGTCACCCTGGTTGGGGTAAGCAGTGCTTGAGAGGAGTTTCCTCATCACTTAGGGGCTTGAGGATTGATATTCCCCACCATTGCTGAGGCAAGCATTGGCATATGAGGCTCCATCCTTCTGGTAGAGGGGGAAACTAGGCCAGCCTGTGAATTGGAAGTCTTCTCAGAGACCTCAGGAGCCCAGGAACCCCAAACCGTCATTTGTGATTACAGCAGCTGCTTTGCCCTACATACTGATGAGGCCACAAACTTGTCATGGGACCACAAGGCCAAATTGCTGCTCCCTCCATAGCGATAACTTCTATCGCATCATCAGTCACAATTTCATCAGTTTTCAGATCTGCCACAAACAGTTACGGAAGCTATTATTCACAGATTCAGCCACAGCACAATAATATTCGTAGCTACACAGGCCTCTGTGTGCTGCCCCTGGATTGTTTGCAGCTGCTGAAGCAGACAGACACATTTACACTGGCTCTGGACCAGTAGCAGACAGTTTACACAGCCATTGACTGCAAGATGCAAGTGTCCTTAAAATCAAAAGATGCGGTGTACTGGTTGTGCTGAATTAACATTCCTGATGTACCTGCGCTCAGGACTAGCTAAGGAAACATGCTTGTAACTACAGCATGCAATTAGCCATTGCCCAGAGGCAGCATAAAGCAATTCTACCTCTTTTCTAAAAAAACTGTCTAACAGTTAGAAAATTCCATTAACAGTAATATTTGCGTGGTCTTGCTACTCATTGAGCAATTTTCCTGTAACTATTAGGGTTTTTTAAAGTACTAGTTTAATAAATCCTGGTATTTTATTGTCCTGACAGTGCTAACAGCATTGCTACTGGAAGAAAATAATAAGGGAAAATGAACTGATTTTTTCATCTTGTTGTCATTGTTATGGAGGTGAAAGTCTCTTTTGCTGTGGTTGAATAACCTTTAAATGGGGGTGGGGGGGAAATCAGGCCTATACAAGCACTCTGTGTTTTCATATGCAATATGCTGAATGTAGGGGATTGCTGACAAGCAAAGGAAGCTTTCTTAGTGAAAGCCAAGCTTTTACCATTGGAGAATATTTCTAATTGTCTTTCTGACCATCATTCAGAAATCCCTTATTAATGTAACGAGTGACTTGTCCAAAACTACAAATCTATGTATAGAAACACATTTCTATGCCTTTGAGGATTTGGAGATTACACAGTTTGGTTTTGCCCTAATTCAAGTGGAAAAAACAATTTGAGTCCCTCATGCCAGCACTTGAAGGCATCTTTACTCTTGACTAATGTTGTCTGCATAGCAAACATTGCTAGAGCCTTCAGTCCTAGAAGTATACAAAACTTTTGTCTGCCAGAGATCTGCATGCCAGGCAGACTAGCTTACCTGGCATCTTTTCCCCAGGGAAGAGAGCTGCCAAGTGGCTGGGAAGTGGGACAGGCAAGAAACCTGCTGAAGAGATCTTGTTTGTTTTCTTTCTTTCTTTCTAAATTTCACTGGCACAGATATATTTGCAAAGCATTTCAGGTTCAGTTAATTCAGTAACTTGTAGTGAAAAAATAATTTTCTCTGTTCTGCCTTCCTGCAGTGGTTCTAATCTCACCAGAAGATGGCTAAAATTACTGAATATTAACTCTCATTAGAAAATGTCAAAGAGAAAAATTCTTAGCCTAATTTTTAAAAGGTAATGACTGCAAACTCTCCCTCTGGAGTGCACATTCTTAAAGAAATTAGGTTATTTTCCTGTTTCAGTATCTTCCAAAATAGGCCAAATTCAGCTTGTGAGGAAGTAATTGTATTTATTGCAGGAGAATTCAGGTTTCTGGGAGGTCAGTGGTTTTTTCCCAGGAAAGCCTGTATTATTATTATTATTATTGTTGTTGTTGTTGTTGTTGTTGCTGCAGGTCAGTGGGTTTTTTTCCAGGAAATCTTGTATCATCATTGTTATTTTCCTTAATTCTCTATGGCAGTCCCACTATGCTGTGTAATGCAAAAGTACTTAAGAAAAAATATCCCCTGCCTCAAAGAAGGTATATCCTAAGCAGACAAGAGCAAAGCAAGGAAAGGAAGGGAAAGGAGATGAGGGAAATTGAAGTTCTTGCATAGAATCATGGGTATAGGCCTTATCATTTCTTATCGGTCATCTAACTTTCCCCCACTGCCACTCGAGTTTAAAAAGCAAATGTTTTTGATGGCACCCACCCACATCTCAGAGCGGCACAGTGAAGGAGACAGTGTGTCAGCACTCTGTGTCAGGTTTCCAAGTGCATTCCCAAGCAGCCAATTAAAGCAGACAAGATAGGTACCAAAGGAAAAAATAAATATTCGTCAGCTGCCACCTCATTATGGAATCCAAGTGCTTGTCTCCTGTCAGGATCACTGAAAGGTTTTTGCAAATGCATAAAGTGCATAAATTGTGTCTGTGAGATTGCAGCTACCATTGCTCCTAGGGAAGCACTGTGCACCTTGCTAGCTTGCTCTCTAGGTGTAATAATTAAAGCCACAGGTAAGGATTGTGTAAAATTCAGAGATACTAAATCTAGAACATGGACTCTTACAATATTAAAGGTGCTGCTGCTCTCCACATTTCTTGGCAGATATCCTCCTTTACCAACTGTTTCCATTCAGCTTTTACTAGATATGGGACGGGCTGAATTCAAAAAGAAGCAAAATCCTGGTTTTGCCTAAGAGCACAGACACAATTTCTTGCCTGTACAATCAGGTAGATTTAGTAGTCACCCAGATGCTGAGACTTAGGTATGTTAAAAACCACATAATTCTCCCTCAGAAGAATAAAATCCTATGCCTAGCCATCAGACTTCAACTTAAATTTTTTATTAGGGATCGTCCATAATTAGCATAAGGATACATGCTAGGCTTTATCGCCAAAGTTATGTGGATAATGTATTTGTATAATAGAAGTACTACACTTTTTTGCTGTTGTTGTTGTTGCTGTTGCTAAAACCAGTACATAACAGCGTTATCTGTACTGAAATAGGGACTGTGGTGAGTAGACCTCCCCTCTCCCCACTGAGCAGATGATGGGACAGAGGACATCTTGGACTGCGATTTCTACCTTTAATTGCTATTGTTTTGTTCTAAGAGGCAGGTTAGAAAGGATACGTATTTCCAAGTCTGATAAAAGAAGCTGACATCAAAGGGTTGATCTTTTTCTTCTTAGTGGAGTTGCTGTAAATAAATTACCTGGGAATGCAAAGATAACACATACAGAAAATGGATTAGAAATGTTACCAGAATACCTTAAAGAAATTAAAATTTTAAAAAAGCATTTCAGCAACGCACTGATTGTCCCTTACAAAGTCACACAGAACAGTTAGTGCACAGTGCGAAGTACAGGAGGAGGGAGGGCTTACCACAGTGACCAGCTTCCATTGAGTAATAAAATCTAACGACTGAAGGTGTTTGCCTCAACTTCACCTTTGATAAGCTTTGATAATGTCAGTAAAGTCTCTTACTAAACTTCAAGTTTCTCAGGTTATTTTAGGGGACAATAGAAGGGAAAATCTTGCCAATGTAAGTTGTTGGTTTAAATATAATCCCAGTTGCTAGTGACCATCACTGTGTGACAGCTGCTTGGTGATACGAATGTCCAGATCGCAGAGATCACCATAACTGGCTTTGCTTGCATTTGCAAGGAAGGGTTGTAGCTGATTTCCACTTCTGGAGGCCAATATGATCGTGCACACGGCTTTTGATATTTCTTATCTGGAGGCTCTCAAAGACACCTTAGTGCCTCGCTGAAGGGGAATTGCTGGTGCAATAGAAAAGCATGTTTTCCCACACACTCTTTTAACTCTGACTCCTTATAACCATAACCTTTACAGACTGAGTATCCCAAAATAATGAAGTAGGAATAGAAGACTATCTAAGCCCTGTCAGTTCCCAGGTGTTTTCATGTCGCTTTTAAAAGCCTGGCACCTTCAGCAGCAAACCCCTGTTCCGTAAAATCTGAGCTGCTGTTTTTCAGTCAGAGCTGAGAGAGTTGTTGGTATCCAAGCTGCACAGGAGAACACCTTATTACTCTGCTTGTCAATTGCAATGCTGAGATCATTGCCTGCATGCTTCAGTGCACATCTCACAAATTATAGCTGTACCTGTATGCAGGTTCAATTAGGTACGTTCGTGTACAGGGGAGCGGAGCCATTTCAGTGCTGGCTCTGGCAGTATCTATTCACAGCACTCTGACGTGGAAAGAAAGAGTAAAAGGACTGACAAGAGAAAGCAGAACAGCCAGAAAGGAAACCTACAGTAAATGTAGTCAGTGCTTTCCACTGTATTATCTACAGCACAGGCTGAAAGATCCAGGCTGGTACCAGGGGCCTGAGATGTGCACAGGCAAATGGGAAAGCAGAACAGGAGTGCCAGTGGCATCATGAGGAACTCAGGCCAGACCTGTAAGGCCAGAGAGAATTTGGTAACAGAAGCAACGAGCTTGAAGTTGGTCTTTAATCATCTGTTTGTTGGGGTTTTTTTTCCTTTTTCCCACTCCCCAAATCAAATGGAACAATAAATTAATATTTCTCTAGTTTTCTGGTAACTGAAGCCTTTAATTTTACTCTTGAGCTGAAAAAAGCAATTAAAAAAAACCTTTTCAGAATGAAAATATGAACCTTTAGGTTTCAAAGGCATTGAGATGAAATTTTGGCTTATCCTAAAATATCAGGGGCAGAGAGGAGCACGGGATCCAACCTAATTCAGCTGAATGCATGTGAGCACACCTGAGACTGAATTCTTTATTATACTTAACTGCATTTGCTAACAAAATTTAATCGGGACTTGTTCTTTTCTTTTTTGTTTAATAATTAGAGTTAATGGTACAACTGTGCTCATGCTGTGGCCTGGGTAGTTACCGCATGTCTATGCCTGCTATAATGTTATTTCTAATAAATTTGCACTCTTTTTCATTTTTTATTTCTTACTATTTAAATGAAAATTGTTTCTGATCTGAAATACTTCTGGATGATGAAGAAAAGGTGTTATAAAAATGATATATTGCATGTTTGAAGATTCGATTTCAGTAGATACACATGGGTTTGGACAAATTAAACAAATCTTGTCAGAAGATCCCTGAAATATTTTTATCTAGGCTGTGAGAGATGCTTATAATCTATAGAGCAGGATTTGCCCTTAAAATGTTTTCCGCAGTTAAGGTCCTTATGCCACTTGTATTTATGAATTATTTGAATAAAGGAGATATCAACCAGTTCCTTAACATCTGACTTAGGTATTTGTCAGCCAGGCTCTGAAAATGTGAACATAGTGAAGAAACAGATGTTGGAGTAAGAAAGTGATTGTTACAGCCAGCAGGAGGACAGGGGCTACAGATGTGCTATAAAAGTCTGAATCCTACATTTTCATCATCACAGTCCTCTGTACTTTGACTCAGTCTTCCCTGCAGCTTGAGCTACAGCACAGCTTTTTGTAGAGGGTTTGTCCTGTTAGAAAAGGAGGGTGGTAACTTTCCAGGCTGGAACTGAAGGCCTTTGGAAAGGCAGGAGGAAAACTGTCCTTAGTTTCAGCTGTCAAAAATGAAAAGCCTGTCTATGCCAGTCATGATATATGTAGGAATATACAGTGCTGAATTATCTCTGATCCTACTTCATTTCAGTGTTACAAACAGGTTACAATATACAAAATGCTATTTTGTTGTGCATTACATTGCATTTTACAAAATACCTAGGAGATATTTTACATTGAAGGCTAATGTTGTTTACCTTTAATAAGGTATATGGTAAAGTAAGTTGCATAGTTGTTTAAAACACAGGCATAGGAAAGCAATTTACTTTTTCATTAAGTATTTCTATACACAAAACCAGTGGTGACAAAGTTGAATGAATATAATTTTTTAACACTCTCCTGAGAATAATTCCCCTTTTACTTCAGTTTCCTTTCTCCTCTCTCTTCATAGATCTCAGTAGTTTTTGTTCCTGGTATTTGTCTTCTAGTTCAGAGCATGGCTTCCCTGCAGAGAAAACACAGATGACAAGAGTTTTGCCATTGATTTTAAAAGGGACTTGATTTGACTCAAGATCGACTTCCTGGCCATCACAACAGAAGAGTAAGGTCTGAAACACAAAGTCTGGGAGCTTTTATGGAAATCCAGGGCTTTATTCTAAGTGCATTCAGGTGTAGCGTTTCACAGGAAATTTCCAAAGGCTAAACCAGATGATAAAAATCAAAAGTACAGTCTCACAGCCAGTCTGACCACTTTGCCTGTGACTGAAAATGATGAGGATCTCCTTTGAGCAGTGCTGATCCCAACAAGTGCACCAGGCCTTTGAGGTTAAAGGTAGCCCATGTGAAAGCCAGTCATTAATATCACTGGAGTTATAGCAAGGATGTATTTATGCCAATGTGCTTAGAAAAATCTGTGGTGTAGAAGTAC